CATAATTAGGAAATGGTTATGCATATCATACCATTTGAGCGCACATGTCTCTTAACCATCCGCCCGTTTCCCGCATAATTAGGAAATGGGTATGCATATCATACCATTTGAGCGCACATGTCTCTCAATCTTCCGTTCACTTCCCGTATAATTTATTTCTGAGATCATATTGTGAAAAATATTATTTCCAAATATTTTAATGGAAAGAAGCACCATTTTTTCCCTAGAAAAATACTGAAGAAATGTGCTTGGAAGAGAGAGAGAGTTAAAGATTGAAAAAGAATTGAAAGAAAGAGAGTAAATAAATAAACTTAACTGTGAAATGTATAGATGAATATCGTTCATTTCATAAATAACTTTGACGAGATATTAATGAGATTTTAGAATTTTCAATTTGTACTACAAAATAATCTCAAAATTATGAAAAAGTGAGTGTTTATAATCAAACTAAAAGCGGTAAATCGGTAAAGTTAATAGCTAGCTAATATGTGCCAGAAAGAAAGGCTAAGCTATAAGATGTTTATGACAAGCACTTCGTACCCGGTACATTCCCTTGATTAGACTATCAAAAACCGATTGAAAGATAAGCAGGCGGATAAATATAAGTAATAAAGAAAGCGGAAAGATATGAACATCCGGATGGAATATCTACCTATAAGCCTAATATACAGACAGACAGACAAAGCAACACTTGAACTTGGCTCAATAAGAATTATTGAGAAATGTTGAGTGAAGAGGATGGGTGGAGTTAAGGAGGAAAATTGAGAAGGTGAATGGTAATATGATGAATTAATCAAAAACCCCTATAAATTAACTGTCCCAGATGGAGAATACGACGCAAATTACTTTTGGATAAGGTGATCAAAGAAGGGGAGCATTAAGAGTATGATTACAATGGGAATTGGCACTCCTTCCGCTTTACTTACTTAATATGCCTAGATTGAAAATGATATATGAAACCATGGTAACAATAGGAGAGTAATAATTGATGAAAGTTACCATGGAAAAAAACTGGTGGTTTAGGTTCATATTTGTAAAGGAGAAATATATACCTGATAAAGGTATAAACTGGTTTAGGTATCATCATAATTTATTCCATAATTGAACTTTGAAATTCCCATTTTTGAAATTACTATTATATTACTTTATCGAGGATTAATTGAGAGAGGCTGGAAATTCTTTGAAGGAGAGAAACAAGTAAAATCGAGAAATAAAGAAAATTCGGGATCTGGTAGTTTAGTTATTAGGATTATTTCAACAAAATTTATATGTGTATGAAATTTGCATTTATTTAAAAATTACTTCTACCTAATTCTTTCTCCTCTCTCTCTCTCTCCTCTCTCTCTCCTCCTTCTTCTGTCTCTTCTATC